AAAAAAAAAAAAAAAAAAAAAAAAAAAAAAGAAGACAATGAGTAGAAAGTTCTTAGAAGAGTTTCTGGTACATAACAAGCACTTGATGGAGACTGGGAATATTGTCCTCGCCCACCCAGGCCTGAGAAGTGACAGGCCCTATCCTTCCTGACCTGTCCACCTGAGCTGCTCCTCCAGGTAAGGGAAGCCCTTTTAGGAGCTCAGCATAGCTGGATTCCTTTAGACACCTGAGTCGCAAGCCTTGGCTTTGTTGCCCATGCTGTGTGACTTGGAGTCACTTTGTCAAGAACTGCCTTCGGGACTGTCCTGTGCTTCCTGTGAGCTCATGGAGGTGAAAAGACAGGACCTGTGGGAGTGACAAAGTCAACTCAGAAAGGGTTTGTTAGCTGGGGCTGCAGGGGCTGCATTTCAGGAGGGCTTCCTGCTGGAGGTGGCCAGCGCAGAAGCACAGGGAAGTTTCCACCGTCATCCACCAGCACAGAGGCCCCGCTCAGCCAGCCACAAGGGTGTTCATGGGCCTCTCAGGGGTCTCCAGAGCCCGGCCAGCCCTCCCAGGCCAGGACCCCTCAGTTCTGGCCCAGCTGGGTTTTCAGAGCCTGCAGCTCTTGGCTGTCAATGTTGTTGCCTCCACACACGATGACCACGACTGACGTCAGGGGAGGGCGCAGGCGGCCCTCAGTCTGGAGCCTCCCCAGGAGGCCTGAGTAGATGGCGGCCAAGGCTGCCCCGCAGGCAGGCTCCACTAACATACGCTCATCATCTGTCCGTATTGGGGGAGTGGGGGAGAGAGAGGAAGGAAGAACTGGTCAGTGCTCAGTGGGCTCTGGCTGCTGCAGATCCACGTAGCCATCTACCCAGCCAGCCATGCGTCTGTTCCTCTGGCAATCCTTCATTTGTCTTCCCCTCCCTCCATCCATCAACCTGACCATCTAGCCCTCCACCCATCCACCTTCTATCTATCCATCCATCCATTCCTCTATCCATCATTAAACTGTCTGTCTGTCTATCCATCAGTGTATCCATCAATCAACATATCCATCCATCCATCCATCCATTCATCCATAAGCCATCCCTCCATCATTTGATTGTCTTCCCATCCATCAATATGTCCATTAATCAATGTGTCCATTCACCCACCCATCCACCCACCCATCCACCCATGTCTATGTCATTCATCAGTCCTTTACCGTCAATCTATCCCTCCATCCATTCACTATTCGTCTATCTATTATTCACCTTTCCACTCACTCATACATTCATCTGTTCATTCAACAAATATTTATTGAGCGCTCACTCCCTGCCAGGCCCTGTGCTAGGAAGGCCCTGGGGACATGACAGTGAAAGCCCCCGGCCTCACGGAGCCCACAGTCTAGAGATGTAGATGGACAAGAACAGGTGGTTATGAACAGAGGGACTGGTACATAGGAAGTTCTCGACCCAGGCGGGGTGGGGGTGGGAGATTGGGGGAAGCTTCCTGGAGGAGGTGCCATGACTGAGTAGCCCTCAGTCACATGAAACCAACAGGGAGCAGAGCCAGGGAGGGTCAGTCAGTGAGAAGGGCAAGTGTCTGGAGAACCTACAAGTGTCTGGAGGTGAGGGACAGTGTGGCACGCTCCTTCCTTACCCCACCCCCCTCCAGGGTTCCACGTGCATTTACTGCATAATTACTGCACACCCAGCCCAGTGCTAGGGGCTAAGGATACAGACGTGAGAGAACATGCTCTTGCTAGAAGGTCCAGGGACTTCGTAGGTCTCCGAGCCCAGGTAGGGGGACAAGGTTCACTCACCCAAGAACCGCTGCATGGCACTCACAGCCTCACTGTCCTCCACCACCTCGGAGAGGATCTCACACTCCTGCATACATGCCAGGGCCCGCGCGGCCACCGTCTTGGCACCCAGGCTCTTGGCCACGCTGCAGAATGGGGCAGGGTGGGTCAGAGAAAGCAGGGCGCAGAAAGCAGAGCTGGAGGATCCAGTCTCTTCCCCACACGGACCCAGTGTCCCCAGCCCCAGGCTGCCCCCTCCTATCCTGCAATGGGCTGGAGCTGAGCATTGTGAGGCACAGAGAAGGTGATCAAAAATTGTGTCGAATGAATGACTGATAAATGTGCATGAGTCTCTCTGACTCTACAACCCTGATTGTGCTATTCCTTGCACAGACCCTAGAAACCCAAGCACAGAAAGAGATTTTTTCTCATTTTCTTCATTAATAACTATTTATGGTGTCTATACTATAGCTAATATGTATTAAATGTGCACAGCGTGCCAGATGTATAAATTTCCTGTTTTATTCCCCACCCTTTGAGTTATTATTAGCTTCATTTTACAGGGGAAGGAACTGAAGCTCAGAGAGAGTAAGAAACTAGCTCAAGGACACACAGCTAGTCAGTAGCAGAATGTGGATTCAAATTCAGGCAGTCTGGCTCCAGAGTTCATGATCTTTAACTCTGTGCTTGGGATCACCTACCTGCTGGTAGCGGCTGTGAGCTGGGCAGTGTGAGTCAGGCCCCAGAGAGCCTTTGGGAGAGCGTATGACCCCCAAGTGGCCCAGAGCACAGACTCTGGCGCCAGCCTGCCTGGTTGTGAACCCTGGTTCTGCACTAGCTATGTGACCTTGGGAAAGTCACTTCACCTCTCTGAGCCTCAGTTCTTTATCTGAAAAATGGAGCTCATGAGGTTGTCATGGGGATTAAGTGAGTTAAAACATTTAAGGTGCTTAGAACACAGGCTGACACTTAGTAAGTTCTAGAGAAGTGTTAGTCGTGGTTA